TAAACGCGTTTTTCTCGAAATCACTTTATTTGAACTGGGCGGACAAATAACTCGAAAAGTTTTTAACTAATCGACTTGAAATTTCGTGGAGAGGTGCAAAATAATATAAAGCAGTGAACATCGTACGGATTTTTTGATTAATTAACTACTTAACTTTTTATTAACAATTCAATGCGGCATTTTCTGCCGTTTTTGGAAACTTTTTGTTCATATCTACACCAAATTAACAATTATTAATATTTTTTAATTTCCGTACGATGTTCCATAGATTTTGGTGTATAATATGAGAAACTTTTTGATTTTTTGTCTTAGGACCATGCGTTAATGAAAAAACAGTCCGCCCGTGTAGCCCTTTCAAACAAATGGTGTTGTTGCTTACCAGCACCTACTGCCGCCATTTTTAATCCAAAATGTTTATAAAAATTTACAAACCATCTTCAAAACATATATAATAAGGCCTTTTTTATTCTGACCTTATAACTTGTACGATTATTACTTTAAAAATTCCTGAAAATCACCTTTTTTTCTGAGTTCTAGAGTGGCGTTACCCCTCAACATTGATAGTTAAAGTGAAAGGATGTTGAAACATGTTTTGAGGTAGGACATATGTGAGCATCAATAATTTTGTTTCCCTCCTTTTTTTAACCAATCTTAAAGGCAGAGGATTATTATTTTATCCGGTTTTAGTCTGCTCTCAATAATTTTGTTTTTTAAGAAAACTTTTATTGTTATATATTTTTTATTTACCACTGTATTTAGAAATAACGATATTGTTTTTTAAATTTATTAAATTATGTGTGAATGCAAATACATGTACCAGGTGCATCGGTTTTAGGGTTGTAACTTACAAAGTATAGAATGCGGAATGAAAAATGTTCAGAATGTCGTGAATAATCGATCAATGTGAAAAAGAACGTACACAGTTATGTTAAAAGAAAGTACATTTTCGTTTAATTTTGTATAAACCTTGTTTGGGTCTTCCAAATTTTGTACAAAATATCTTACTTTTGAATTTGACATATCTTAGAAATTGTTAATTTTTTATAAAATTATATCTTAATATTTTTTTTCATACGAAATGCTTTGAAAAATTAACTAGCATGAAAAGGTATGCAAATCTTTAAATAAAAAACTAAATTTGACCGTCATGAGTGCTCTGCGCGTTTAGTTACAAAAAATTTCTGGCATCGAATTATATTTCCTTCGATGCCATTAAACCTTTCTTTGAAACATTTTTTAATATTCATACTTTTCCTGTCATCCATTAGATGTAATCAAAATAAAAAACTATGTATGTATATATAGTTATTACTGTAAACTTACATAAGACCGACTGCGAAAATTTTAACTAAATCAGTTAAACCGTTTTAGAGATATTATCGAGACATTCAAATATACATACAAAAAATACCTAACTCAGCAATAAAATTTCTAATAATATTGGATAATGTAGGTAATAATATTTCCGATTGTAAATCAAAAACTATTAAAATAAGCTATTACGAACTATTTCTTTCATATTATAAAATGTATATAATACACGTGGCCATATTGACATATCAACGTGTTAACAATAAATATTTAAATGTACTTTAAACATGCTTAGTGCATGTAAAATAATAATTCACTGAAGGAGGAGGAGGAGAAGATAAATGGTTGATGGTATTATCGCATTTTCCTGAGGAATGACGTACAAATTAAGACTAAACTGTTCTTTGTTCCCCTCATTATACTATGTTCTCACAAAATGATGTTATTTCAGTTTCATGAAAGACATTTAAAACCAAAATTCTGGTTTTTGCACATAAAAGTAAATAACATTTACTTATATAAAAACAAATAAATACAATAGCTTAGATTAAACGAGGATAAAATATTTATAATTGTTAAATAAAATTTTATTTCTAATGTATTCATAAGTTGTTTTAAAAGTTCGAATTAATATGAGAGAAATCCTTAACTTCGTTGCTTTAACCACAATTTTCAATGTGTGCTTATTCATTTTTCAAATTATATTTGTTAGTTAATGACTCTCGGAATAAAGAGAGAGGAGGAACAATTAGTCTGATTATAGTAGTTGTCAAAATCATTGACAAACGATGGTGTGATCTAAAAGGTCAAGAATATACAAACACGTCACAAGGAAGATAAATTTGCATCAATTGCCTTAAATCGACAAATTTTTATTCCACGCTGATTATTTACCGTTTATTAACGATTTCATATTACTTTAATGAAATTTATATAAATAAATTGGCATTTTATTCAATGAATAGAATTAGTTATGATTCAGTATTTATAGCAATTAAATAAAATTTTCATAATTGTTGAATAATTAAAAAGGTAGCAACCAGTTACTAATAAATTATTTATGTTGTGTCAAATACACAAAAGATTGTTATTTTCGATCCTTGATTATTGATTTAACATCGATGATTGATCGTTCATTATAACTTATCTGATCTGGCGCCGGCGACGATTTCCTTCGAAAAATCAGTCCGTATCATAAGTTAAACCACTTTTGCTTTTAAAGACGATGATTGTTGACAAAAAATCAAGAGCACAAAAACTTCACGTAATTACCAGTAAATTTAGCACTGCAACATTGTAAAGAATGTATACTATATGTATATTATATACAATCTTCAAAACATCTTACCTAACACCATTAATATTCTATATGTTATACCTCATTGCCAAATCGATTAAAATCATCATCTTATATTCGTCTACAATATTTTCAGTGATTTCCTCCAAACTGTTTAGAATAATAAAAAAATACCTTCGAATGTACACTTAATATTCAAATTTAATTAATAAAGTATACAATGTACATACCACTAATACATATCTCGTAAAGAACCATTTGATGCAGAAAATGAGGTTCTACAAAAATGGAAACACTAGCCCTATTTTCGATCGTTTTCTTAAACGTTTTGCAAAGTAGTTGTAAAGAAGACTGCGCGCATTCACAACGTGGCCACGACTGTAACACCATACCCGATAATACTAGCACCCGAGTTCTCTTTCAATAAACGTAAGATATCGCATCCAAGGCTACACTTGACACTGTCTCCCCCTCTTCTCTCATTTAACGTCATACAAAATGTTACTGTACATTCAAATTTTCATCATGAAAATTCATATCTATTCAACAGCACTTTTCAACTTAAGATATCTGTATATGTTTAATATAAAATATATAATAATTATTTTTACTATAACTAAATAAAAATTGATGCAATACTTTGTTTTGTGATAAAAAGAAAACGATATTGATTCTTGTTGCAAAAGTATAAATATAATAGATTAGTAAAATAAAAAGTATCTTTGTTTTTATTTACGTATTTCTCTTTATATACAATTCATAAAGGATTGCTTTTAAGCCTTTATAATACTTGTTACTGCATTATATATATACTTTATATAAGAAGCCAGTGTAAAAATATTTTGTAACGATTCGCATCATATCACAACTGTTATATAACGAGAGAATAATATATCTATATCATTGGTCTGCTTGAATTTCGTTTCTTTGCCATTTTTAAATTTATCCTTGTAAAATCAACCTTAATTTTTTCGAGCAGCCATCCATTTCTCTATTTCCTCGACTCTGTAATTAAATTATACAATTATATTTTATAAAGTACAATGAGGCATGCAAAACTTAATAACAGTGAAACTATTCGTAATTTCCCATACTTGAAATTACATCAAATTTAATAAATATTAATCATAAAGGATCTAATTGAATAAGATGGTCAAAAATGCCCGTGAACCAAATAAAGCACCCAATACGTCAGTCGATAGCATATCTAAAAAAAACACCTCACACCAAGTTTCAACCCCTTTTTTCATCCGGAGGGGTCGTAAAAGGGAAAAATTTTAATTTCGATTTTTGGCCTATTTTTTCTATTGAATTCCGTATAAAAATTCTGAAAAAATTCTGAAACATTGAAGTTCATACAACGCAGGTTGTGGAATTTTTTCAGATTTTTTTTATCGCCAACTGTGGTTGTAAAAAATGAAAAGTCGAGAAGAATGCAATTTTTTATTGAAGATGTAGAAGTACTATTTTTATATAGTCTGTATTGTACTTTTTAACCGACTTTGAAAAAGGTAGAGGTTACTTAATTCGGTCAGTAATTTTTTTTTTTTTTTCCTATGTATGTTCGCCGATTACGCCTAGCTGGGTGGACCGATCGGAACGAAACCTTTTGCATCTGATAGGTTCTCACTCCCCATTGGTACCATTATCAAAAAATTTTTCATTTTTTAATTGCAAAGTATTGTTATTGCAAAACAACCGGCAACTTTTGAAATAAACTTTTCTCGATTTTAGTGCACTTTTTAATATCTTATCACGGACATGATTCTGAACAATTTTGTTCATATACAAATTTCGCGGAAAGGTTTAGTTTTCGAGATATTAGCGAAAAATTGTTATTAACTTTTGAAATCAACTTCGAACGATTTTAATGTCTTTTCAATATGTTGGCAGGGGCATGGTTCTGGACAACCTTTTCCTTATGCATAATTGACGGAAAGCTTTAGTTTTCGAGATATTAGCGAAAAAAAAAATTGAAAAACGAATATTCATGTTGTCTTTTATTTAATTATGTTCATGGCATTTACGCAGACAAAAAGAAATCCCGGAAGAACTGTCTCACAGTATCCTATAAAATTCTCCCCATTCCACTAAAAAGTGTGAAATAAAATAATTTTAAGAAAAAAAATACGCCGATTTCGATATGCACTAAAAAGTATAAAATAATTTCTATTTCCTAATGAAATAATTTCTATTTCATTCAATCATACAATTACGTAACAGATATGAATGAAACAAATTTGGTAATTCCCGCATCGTGGACTCCGTTTATAGGTTCTTAGATCCATGGCTTCCACATGCGAACGAAGTAGATTCAATTTCATTTATATCAGAAACGTTGCGAAATGAAGATGCAGTCGTTACATTTACGTATATTACCAGATATATCTATAATGGTTCGTATTCTATATCAGGATTTATTAATTTCCAATACGCCATACCACAATCAACTAGTTATTGGCAGCAACGTTTACTGAGGTATTTTTAATTTTGCGCCGCCTCCGAGAAGGTTGAAATGTATTTAATACACTACCTAACGAGTAAATAGGTTTCATTCATATCTGT